ACATTTCAACATAAGCAAGCTGTATTAATTCCAAATAGAATTTATTTGTACCCTGATGGAATGACTTCCCCATAAGGCCTCATATGCACACTTAAAATTTAGCAGTCTTCCTTTGATAAATTACTTATAGTAATCCTTGAAACAGCTAGACTTGCCTGAGTGATACGATTTTGAAAGTCTTCAAGCCATGTCTGTCCCTAAAATATTTGCATGAGAGCTACAAAGAGGGGGAGGTATCATTTTTAACAATGAGATTCTGAACTGGGAAGGGAGATAAGAGATTAATATCCATGGGTTCAAATAATCTTATTTCAAATACTGAAATTAAAATCTTACATCTCATTAGTTGACCGAGCAGTGAATGTAAACTAGAATTATTTGTATGTGATGTGGACAAGTACAGAGTTTCCAGCCACAGGAAGAATCTGGGCTTCAACTTTCAACAAACTTTTTTTTCCCCCCAAGATCTTTTGTCACATGGAGACAGATGCACATTTAGGAACTTGTGCAATGGATGTATGGTGACTTTTATATCTAGGGAGTATTTCTGTTCAGGAACCTATGTGCTCCTACATAATTGAAATAATAATTTTTTGTCCTTTTGTAAAATAAAGGTTTATTGTGTCTAGCAGGAATTTGGATATTCATTTTTATGGTACTTTTATAAGCACTTTTATATGCACCCCCAGTCTGCAGTTGTTGAAGCTTTAAGCCATTTTTCATTAAATTAGTTAAACTCCTCTTTGTGCAGATTGGCTTTTAAAACTACAGCTCTGAAGTGGAAGCCTCAGTTTTGACAGTCTGTAGGCCTGCAGCAAAGATGTTCCATTCAAATATGGGGAAACTCGTCCTTAATCAGATGAAATAGCTGCTTGAGTGCTAGCTGGAAAGCAGAAAGCTCAGGAATGAACGAGGAGGAGAAACAGAAACTCAAACTATCCTCCTTCTTGGTGGATAAGTTAAAAAGAAAATATCACTAAGCAGTTTTTTCCTTGCTTAAGCCTGTCGTCACCTTTGGGGGGGGGGAGCTCTTTGTTTCCTGAATCATATTATGATAGTACCACAGGAGGAAAGAAGGGGAGGGGGCAGCCACACTAGGATCTATTAGATGAATACTACCTCACCTCTGTTTTAATAACTGTCCTTCCAGCTTTATGTATGAGAGTGATTACTGTGTGTTTTCTGCCATGTACAGCGCATAGAAATGATACATTACACATGAAATAAGTTTGTTTCCGAGAGAACGAGTTAATAAACTAGAGTTCAAGTTAAAGTGCATAGGCTGATCGCGTTACTGTTACTCAGATGAAGACTTTGGGGGCCTTAGAGCAAGGGCAAGGTAGGGATTGTGAGCTCTGAGATCCAGACTCCTCTCTCTTTGCCAGGAGAGTGGCAAGGTGGGGGTAAGTAAGGTATTTTCCAATTGAGCTCTGATGAACTGAGTTGTTTCTTCTCCAACTGCACCCCAGGAAGTGGGATTCCACACCTTTTCCAGACCAGTGCGAGTCGAGATGCCGACTGGACACAGTAGACCCCTTCGTTAAGATCTCGTCAAAGAAGAGACACTGGAGTCATCCCCAGGATCTCTAGTCGGGGTGCCTCGAGTCTGTTTTCACAGATGAGGCCCGAGAAGCACCCCCCCTGTCTGTGCCCCCAGGCGGCTAGGCCTGCGTGAACTGCCTGCTCAGCTATTGTCCTAGCGAGTGATCCTGGGAAGCCGTGCTGGAGAGAGGGAGCTAGCTAGACACCTTGTCAGTTCAAAGCATTTTAGGGTTGTTTGAAATCCTCTCCACGTCAACGTAAGCAGCCTCTGTATTTGAACAGCTGCTTTGAACAGAGAAAAGGAATGAGCTGAATCAAAACCTGGAGGAGTCTCCCGGAGACACCTTCAACGTGTTTGTAAGCGGGTGGAGAAAAAACTGACAGCCAAGCGGCGTGGGTTTTGCCAGGGTCAGCGTCTAGAAACGCGCCCGTGACGGTGGGAAGGAGTTACGAACAGAGGAGCCCCATCGGGAGTTAAACCCCGAGAGATCCTTGGTTTACAGGAGCCCTAGGAAGGCGCCCTCCCGGGAGGCGGAGGTTGCTCAGGACCCGGTTCGCGCCAACCGGGCCTCCGGCTACCGGCGGGCTGGCGCTGGGGGAGGTGGTCGGTCCCCTGAGCTACGGTGCACGCTCAGCGATTGGTCCAGCTACAGGGCTGGGGGTGGGGTGCTGCTGCTGGGGACCAGGGGTAGAGCATTGTCTGGTGTAATGCCTGGGATTTATTGGGTATATCGACCCGATAGAACCACCGGGGGTTACTCCGCTGGGAACGACTCAGCTCTTTGGTCTACCAGCAAAAAGTGGATGGAGTAGACCTGGGCAGCCAACACGGGATAGTCTCTGAGCCGAGATCGCCAGTGCTATCCCGTCACAGACAGGAAGTTTGGCTGTGCACGTGCAAGTCTCTTTTTGCTCCCCCACCCCCACCCTATACAACAACACCCTATACCGGGCGTTCAGGGGTGGAGGGCAGAGGAGAGGAGGGTAAAGGGAAGACTATAAACTGACTCCGAACCCAGCCGCCTCGGTTCCCTCGGAGAGGAATCTGGAAACCTTTTTTCTTCCCTCGATTGTATCGTCCCACGGGCTGCAAAGGGCCTTGTCCCTGGAGAAATGCGAAATCAAATCCAGAGAAAAGAGGACACCTGCCCCGGAAAGGGGGGGGGGGGGACTGAGCATCCGGACGCGACCCTTCCCGGCGGTTGGATTCTTCCATCTGGGGGAGCTCGCAGTTCTGAGTCAGGAGAGGCGGGGCGGGAGGGGGAGGAGGGAGGGCAGGGGCGCGGATAGCAGAAAAGATGGGGGTGGGGGTAAGAACCCCGGGGGCTAGGTTTGGACGCGGCTGGCTAGCCGTCTGTGCGCTCCTCCAAGCCCCGGGAGAACCGCGCGCCTGTCGCCGGAGTCTCGGGGCTGCAGCCTGGAGGAGGCGGTCTTGTCCACCGCCCAGCCCCTTTGCTCGCAGTCCAAGAGCCGCGGTTGCGGGATCCCAGGTCTGGTGTGTTTCTTTTCCCCCCAGCCGGGCAAAGTTCCGGGATTTCTCGCACCCCTTCGGCGCGCGGCGCGAGCGGCTCCGCGCTTGCGCTGGCGGCGGCCGCCCCGCTCTGTGTGTCCTCGCCTGGCCGCGCGGGTGCGCGCGTGGGGGAAGACAGGTCCGTCCCGCGGGCGGCCAGTGGGCTCGTCCCTCCCCACCCCCATTTCTCGCGCGCGCACGCTGCCTCATAAACACAGGGCACGTGGAAATCCTCCACCCAAGCGCCTTGCCCGGGCGGGTGCTCAACGTGGTGATTTATAAACAGCTCAGCCACTCCCCAAAGAGCTTCGCTCCTCGTTAGTCATGATGAATTCTCTGGCCCACTCCACTTTGCTGTCTAGATTAAGATGCTCAGAGGCCCCAAAGTACTTCCCCTGAGCGTCGATTTGGCTTCCCTCGCAACCTCACCACCAAAAGCAGCGCCAGCGCTAGATCTACACGAGCCGGGGTAAGGGTGGGCGATGGGTTGTTTCCACGTCCTCCGGGGCCTTTATTCCCCCCCCCCTTTTCCTGCAGCAACTTTCCATTGATTGGATTCGCTGTCTGGGCACCCGCACACTCGGCCATGCGTTGTGATCCCGCTGCTGCAGGCTGCTTAAGCTCCGGGTTTCTCTGATCACGGTCTCAGGCTTCCAAAACTCGCTGCAGGCACCTGCTCCGGACGGCCAAAGGAGCTCTGTACACGAAGCGCTAGAGCTCCTTAAAGCAGCGCCGCCGGTCCCCGGTCCAGCTGTCTAGCTCGGTAGTTCATGGCTAACGACTAACTAGGGGGATTCGCCCTCCAGAGCCTGAAAGTAAGAGTTTATCCGCCCCACCCGCTGGGGCCCGCCGAAGTTACAGGCGAGGAAGGAAGGGTCTCTGGCCTCGGCCCGCTTTCCTTCACGTATTCTTCCTCTCTTTAGAAGCAGTCAAGGGAAAAGTTGCATGGAAAAGCGCCCTCCTTGGAGGGGAAGCGCGCGCGCCGCCCCCGCGGCTTGGTTTGCGGAGCCGCTGTGCCCGCCTGCAGCGCGCTGGGAGGCCGAGCACACCCCGCGCGCGCCCAGACAAGGTGAAGGTCTGCCCGCGCCTGCTCCCAATTTCCTAAACCAAAAGCTAGGAGCGCACCCGAGTGTGCGAATCAGCGACTTTGAGAGTTTTGTTTTGTTTTGTATTCAGTCCAGACCGCCGCGCTGTCAGAGCAGGCAACTCCGCGCCTTAGCCGGAGTCCCTTACAGACCGCTTTACGCACTGAGCCCGCCTCTCGCGGCGTCCCACCTCTGAGGGACTGGGAGACAATTGGGTTTTCAACCAAAAAGGAAGAGAGCCTGTGGTGGAGGACGGATAAAAGGGAAGAATCTTTATTAGAGCAAAAGTGTTTGCACATCCAGAAACAAGAAACACCGGAGCACAGAAATTCCAACGAGGGGGGGGGCGGGGGGGGGACTGTGGAGAGAGGGACTTTATTAGGATGACAAAACTGGCTTCTAGCTCTAGGTTTAAGAGTCGCTAGCTTGTGTGTATATGTGCGTGTGTGTGTGCGCGCGCGCGTGTGTGCGTGTGTGTGTGTGTGTGAGCGCCAGCGTGCGTCTCTGTGTTGTTCCAAGATGCATAAAAATTGGACTCCTGGTTTAGTGCTGCTCATCCTTTCTTTCCTCCCTCCGTCTTCATCCTCCCCCAGATCCCACCACCACTACACACACACACACACACACACACACACACACACACACACACACACACACGCCCTACGGGGTATTAAGAGAGAGAAGGAGGACTCCCCCCTCCCCAAGTCTTCCAAGTGGCTGTGGTCTCGAAGAGCGCTGGGGCCGCCCCCGCCCAGCTTCTAGGCAGGGGAGACAGATGGGGGGCGGGGCCCATTCGAGAGGGGCGGAGGAGGCCCCGGGTGGGGGACAAGGCGAGGTGAGAACTCAGGATCTGAATCGGTGGCCTGGGAGGGGACTGGAGGAGGGCTAAGAGGACTCGGCGACCGGCTGCTGGGCGGGGGGAACGGAGAGGGGGGCAGGTCTGCGCCAATCAGCGGCGCCGGCCTGGGAGGTTGCTAGCGGTATCCACGTAAATCAAAGGGCGCGGAGCCAATGGGAGGGGGCGGAGGGGGCGGGGCCCAGGCGCGTGCCGCTGCGAGCCGGCGCTGCCAAGAGAGCGGGAGAGAGCTGGAGAGAGCAGGGAGAGGGGGGAGCTCCGAGCGAGTCAGAGAGTGAGCGAGAGCAAGAAGGAGGGAGAGGAGAAAGAGAGCGAGGGCGGCGGGCGGGAGGCGGCGGCGGCGGCGGCAGCAGAAGCAGTGATAGCTGGAGCAGCGACAGAAGGCGTCGGAGCGGGCGTCGGAGCTGCCCGCCGGGGGAGAGAGAGAGAGGAGAGAGCGAGCGAGCGAGCGAGCGAAGAGAGGAGCCCGAGGCGAAAAAGTAACTGTCAAATGCGCGGCTCCTTTAACCGGAGCGCTCAGTCCGGCTCCGAGAGTCATGGCGACCGCAGCGTCTAACCACTACAGCCTGCTCACCTCCAGCGCCTCCATCGTGCACGCCGAGCCGCCGGGCGGCATGCAGCAGGGCGCGGGGGGCTACCGCGAGGCGCAGAGCCTGGTGCAAGGCGACTACGGCTCGCTGCAGAGCAACGGGCACCCGCTCAGCCACGCTCACCAGTGGATCACCGCGCTGTCCCACGGCGGCGGCGGCGGGGGCGGCGGCGGCGGCGGGGGCGGGGGCGGCGGCGGGGGCGGCGGCGACGGCTCCCCGTGGTCCACCAGCCCCTTGGGCCAGCCGGACATCAAGCCCTCCGTGGTGGTGCAGCAGGGCGGCCGCGGCGACGAGCTGCACGGGCCGGGCGCCCTCCAACAGCAGCACCAGCAGCAGCAGCAGCAGCAGCAGCAGCAGCAGCAGCAGCAGCAACAGCAGCAGCAGCAGCAGCGACCGCCGCATCTGGTGCACCACGCAGCCAACCACCACCCGGGGCCCGGGGCATGGCGGAGCGCAGCCGCTGCCGCGCACCTCCCGCCCTCCATGGGAGCGTCCAACGGCGGCTTGCTCTACTCGCAGCCCAGCTTCACCGTGAACGGCATGCTGGGCGCCGGCGGGCAGCCCGCGGGGCTGCACCACCACGGCCTGCGGGACGCGCACGAGGAGCCGCACCACGCCGACCACCACCCGCACCCGCACCCGCACCCGCACCAGCAGCCGCCGCCGCCGCCGCCCCCGCAGGGGCCGCCCGGCCACCCCGGCGCGCACCACGACCCGCACTCGGACGAGGACACGCCGACCTCGGATGACCTGGAGCAGTTTGCCAAGCAGTTCAAGCAGCGACGCATCAAACTGGGATTTACCCAAGCGGACGTGGGACTGGCTCTGGGCACCCTGTATGGCAACGTGTTCTCGCAGACCACCATCTGCAGGTTTGAGGCCCTGCAGCTGAGCTTCAAGAACATGTGCAAGCTGAAGCCTTTGTTGAACAAGTGGTTGGAGGAGGCGGACTCGTCCTCGGGCAGCCCCACGAGCATAGACAAGATCGCAGCGCAGGGGCGCAAGCGGAAAAAGCGGACCTCCATCGAGGTGAGCGTCAAGGGGGCTCTGGAGAGCCATTTCCTCAAATGCCCCAAGCCCTCGGCCCAGGAGATCACCTCCCTCGCGGACAGCTTACAGCTGGAGAAGGAGGTGGTGAGAGTTTGGTTTTGTAACAGGAGACAGAAAGAGAAAAGGATGACCCCTCCCGGAGGGACTCTGCCGGGCGCCGAGGATGTGTACGGGGGGAGTAGGGACACGCCACCACACCACGGGGTGCAGACGCCCGTCCAGTGAACTCGAGCGGGGGGAGGGGCAGAGCGCGGGGCTCCCCCTCCCCTTCGGTCCATGGCCCTTTCCCGGTCCCCTTGTTTCCTCTCTAACTTCTGATTGTTCTTTTATTTTTAATTATTATTGCCCCGTCCCTTAAAAGAGAAAATAATAATAATAATAATAATAAGGAAAGCAACTAAGGCACTGGACTATCGTTTTCGGTAGCATGTGTAATGATGTGTTTTGACCTTTACAGGCTAGCCCAGGCAATGGAGTGGAGTGTCTCAGAGAGGAAGGAGCGTGTGATAGAGAGAGAGGAAGAGATAGTAGCAAGCACTGAGATAAATACCTGGCAAAACTAGATCAATGACCAAAAAGAAAAAATAAAATTCCACCAAATCATGATAAACACACAAAAAAACACAGCTTCTTGAGGCTGGGAGTTGGCACATGCTCTTGTGTTTATCTAATGTGGATCCCCATCAGGAGAAAGAATACACGCATTCGTTCTTTGATGTAGGCAAAAATTTAACCACAATAAATTGCACTGCAAGAAAATTGAAGTTTACATGGACAAATTCGTGAACATATTTTTCTTTCTCCCACCATGAATTTAGAAATTGCTAGGGTTTGTTTTGTTTTGTTCAGCAGAGAGAGTTGACGCCAGCTCTTGGCCACTCTCCATTTCTAACCTTCTTGTGTCACCCCTTGTTCTTCTTGCTGTTTGTGAACTTTGGTTTCCTTCTGTTCCCCCACCCCTCCACCCCACCCCTCACACTGGTGTAATGTTTATTTACTCCTTTTACCAAAGCGAAAAAGATTGGCTTCATACAAAATAAATCATTCTCCACTTTCAGGAAATCTGCATGGTCTCACCGTTTTGTCCAAGGCAAGAATCCAGTTTGGAATACAAAAATAAAAGTCCAGCATTGGTTTTTGTGACCAGCCACAAAGTAAACTTCATTTTCAGGCAGTGTTTCTGGGGGAGGTTATGGAGGGGAGGGAAAAAAAAGAAAGAAAAGTCCATGGCGAATGACTGATGATTCATTTTATCAGGCAGGTCCATTGTGAAGGAACTCAGGAAATGTGGAGATGAAATATATTTCCAGAGTTGCCCAACAGAAAGTGGCACATTGAAGAGAACTAGAGAAATAGGTTTCTTCAGATGCCCCTGTATAGTTCTCTGCCTTCTGTTTTAATAACTTAACTATGAGAAATTATTTGTGCTGACAGCAGCATTTATACTGTGTTCCTCTAATAGTATTTTTTAAAAAATTATGCGGGAACTTAATGTTGTATGCATAGACTGTTTTCTTAGCACACAAATACCCACATGCATACAGGGATTATCTCCACTGTAGACTGGTTTTGTCTTCACTAGCTCATGTGTTTATCAATTCATATTTAAGGTCCCACACCCTCTCTCATGTAATTTATTACAAAAACAAATTACCCAGTTTGACTTGGACAGCTTTCCCTCACCCCCTCTTTCACCAAGGAAGCCAAATGAAGTGGGGAAGATGCTATTTTCAATTCCTCTTTTTCTCCCTTTGTTAATAGTTTTAAGTATGATTTCTACCTTATCTTCTTGTGTTAACTCCCATGACAAAAGACTTTACTGGGGAGTGTAGGTGAAAAAAAACTTGTAACTGCACTGAAAATAAATACCATTAAACTGTGATCAGTACAAATATTCAAAAAAATTGCAATCAGCACAAAGGGGCGCTAGAAGGGAAAACACTTTTTATTCATCTGAAAACTTTGGGGCTTTTTTTTTTCCTGGTTAGGTGTTAGAAAAATTTTATGTTAAAAATTCAATTCTCACTACCATAAAATTATGGTTCCGCATCAGTTTAGCATTGCACTTAGTAGTTAAGGTTTTAGGGTTATATTGTCTTTTCAAACACCTGTGATCGGTTCATTTTTTAATGTTTTTGCAAGATAAATGATAACTTACAATGGGCATATTTCTTTGCCTGTATTTCATTTCCCCCAACAAATGTCATAAGGCGATGGGGCACGGAGCTGCTTCGGGTGCATCAAGCTGCTTGTCCCTGAGGCGTGAGGACTGGCTTTAGTGAAGCAATCCAGAGCAGGGCAAATAGCCAATGGGAAAGGGAGGAAATGAATTTTCAGCTTCTTATTACCAAGTGGGTAAGGTGAGAAACTGGAGTTCAGGGGCTGTCCTTTAGCTCCTCTAACTCTCATAGGTTTACTAAGACAAAAGTTACCACTGAACCTTACCACTATGTATATATGTTTAATATCTGTCTTTTGAAATGCAGAAATAGTTTAAATGTTTCTTTGTCTATTTTTCTTTTTTTTAATGCTACCCAGGGAAATATTTTCATATCATTTTTAAGTGGCCTGCCTCAATGTATATTTATTTCTTTTAAAAGCAAAAAGGTTCTGGAAACTGTTTTTCTGTAGCTTTAAATGAGTAGGTGAGCAAAATCTATATGGGATGTAATTTTTTTGTTCAGTCTTTAAAAATAACTTTGTTTTGGTACATTTGGTTGTGCTTGTGGGGAAAATAAAAACGCAGAGATCCTTATATATTTATGTTAAAGTAATATTTTATTATCTACATAAAACAGAAATGCACAATACCTTCATAGTTTGTTCTAATTATTGAAATATCTTTATTTTATTTTAAAAGATAGTGCCAAGTTTTAAGGGGGGGGAAATACCCTAGACCTTATGCTTACTGAGTTGAGTTGTGTGTAAAACACTTCCCTTCCTTTATACTTCATAAAGTTTTGGAATAAATTTTATGGATATACTGCCAGGTTTCATGTTTATAACTTTCGGAGGCTTTTTTAAAAAGGGAGACTACTGACTGTTTTGATTCACTTTTCTGTGCAAAATCTATCTGTGCCAAATCTTTCAGCACTATGTCTGTAGCATTAAATCGAAATGGTCATTGGGTTTTAGCTTCAATTTGTTTGCCATTTCATGGTCCAACAAAGAGATGTTTGTTCCTCTTTAAAATGTACAGATATTCCTGTATCTTCCTTCCAAGTTAGCTTTACCTTCCTAATTGCGCTGTGGGAGAAAAAATCATCAATGAAACTAGGTAGACTTTAATCTTTACTACATGTCCACACAGTATTTGGTACCTACAGGAAAGCAAGATTTAGTCAAGGGTATTATACTTATTAATTAACAGTTCAACAGAGAATAACTGGTAATATGCAGTGTGCATTTACTTAATGAATAGGGGTAGGTCCTATGTATTCTTCCTGTTGGGTTCAGAGAAAAAGATGCATTTGCAATGGTTTATGCAGTCTTCTCTAAGTCTCTGAAAATGGGTTCTGGAAAAAAAATAAAAGAAGGTACGAATGGGGACTTATTTTAGTATTATGGTGCAAGACTCTAATGCTAATATAGATTATTTCAGATAGTTTTACTACGCTACCCAAAATTCAGTTTTAAATGAGAAATGAAAGCACTGTTGGCTTACTTTACAAGTTTGCTGGCGTATTTAAAAGTTTTCTTTGGAACATTGGTTTAAGTATAAATGTCTATTTGGAAAGGTAGTTTCTGGGCTTATTGCATCTGATCATCTTTTCTAACTCCTGGTCAATATTACACAGGTCCCAAACAGATTCAGCCAAATGATCTTATCAATAGGCTGAACAAGAAGTGACAGAAAGAAGAAGTGCTTTGTGACCGCAGACATGCTGATGGGTAAAATGTTTAAGCTGGATATAGATTTAAGTTCTGGGTCAATATCCTCCTCCAGTGTAGGCGGAAAACAAGCAGCATCTGCCCTCTGCAGGGCATTTTAGTGGACCTTGAGAAGACGTTGTTGTTGTTGTTGTTGTTGTTGTTGTTTGTTGTTGTTGTTGTTAGCCACAGGAGCTACTGACTGGAAACGATCACGTGCTAAATGGTCATGCCAAGGTTCTGACCCACGCTTGCCATTCCTATTCTAAAGCTACTCAGACAGTTTTAATGCCAGTTTGGGGACTGTGCAAGGTGGAAAAACACCATCGCTGCTCCTGGGGAAAATGTGCGAGGCAGTCACTCCTAAGATGTGGACTAGTCAAAATGACAAACCTCCCCACCTCCCTCCCAAGACAGTAGTGCTGAAAAGGGCTCTCTGAAAGAGTCCATGTGCTTCCTCACAATGTGTCACTTTTAAAATTTATGGTGCAGCATGAAGGGTGGAGGGTGATCATGTGGGAGAGTTATGTGAAGGTCAGATGGAGGGAATGGCCACAAGTAATATTATGGTTGGCACTTCTAAACATTCTCGCTTCCCACGAAGTTACCTCCTTATTTTTCAAACGGCAGCAACAAAAGCCCTCTCTTCCTTCCCCTCCCCCTACCAGTTTGTAAGACACGTAGAGGTTGGCAAAATTTTCTAGTGAAATGGCTTTAGCAAAGATAAAACCTTTCTACTTTTTTTTCCCCTCTAAAAGCAACTAATAAAGAGATACAGCAGCAACAATGGGGGGTTGGCATGTGAGCGTATTGGTACCTGTGCATGTATGTCTATATGCTGCATTCATTCGCCTTTCATTTGCCTTACTATGGAAGCAGCTTAGGTAGTGCTGGGTGACTGGGTGAGAGATATTATCTTTTTATCACTGGTCCCTGTGATTTGTCTTTGTTGATTTTTCAATCAGTTTATAGAACTCTGTTCTAGATTCTATTGAATTCCTAGACAAGTTAAAGAATGGAGCATGTACAGAAAGCGAAAGGATGGTGAAGTGAGGGTCAAAGGTAAAAGTGTTTCTTGAGATCCACTTGTATATTTCAGTGAGGCGAAAGCTTATTTAAAACGAAAGAAAAAGATGCATCTCGAAGTACTGTGAGTGATGGTATGGAGTATACAGATAAATTTTATACATTTTCCCTGTTTAGGAAAGTTTAACTTTTTCAATGACACATAATCTCTTAGTGAGGGGGCAGGTGGTGGTGGGAGTATGCTTGATAACTATTCTCACCACTTGTTTCAGGCTAGGAAATAATGCAAAAGTGGCAGAAGGTTACCACACTCGGCTCACAAATCCCGAAATAAACTTGTCCATGTTTGTAGAACTTGAGCCAGAGTTATTTCAATGCCCATTATCTAGACTAGCTACAGGAGCACCAGAAAATGAAACTAGTTTTCTTCAAACTCTTTGCTCGGTTAAAGAGAGATATATGATCAAAATATATGCAGATTGTTCTGGTGTTTGGAGGGAAGCTAGGAGATGTGTTTTCTCCTTTTTTTTTTTAAGAAAAAGAAAAGCCAATAAACTTTATCATGTAGCACTTTTCCCTTCCCTTAATAACAACTCTGCTTGGCTTAGCTGTTAGAGGTTTTAGAAACAATATCATATCCTAACAAGACAACCCTGGCCTCTTATTGTTCTTAGAATTCTGGTTGTTAATAACATTAAGATGTATTTCTCTCTCTCTTTTTTTTAAATGTCTGAAATGTTATTTAATACACCAGTAAAAATGCATCTATATCTTAAAGTTTATTCCTTCCACGTCTTTCTGAGTTTTTATAGCTCTTTGTCTGGGATTTGGGGGTGGGGGTGGGTCTTCCATATGCGGTTGGTCTTTGAGGATCGGGCTCTGGAGTGGTTTGTAGCTGGCGGCACACAGCTCTGCTCAGAATGGGGAGTTGTCATGGGGGGGGAGAGAAGAAATAAATGCCCTACAATGACTCACTTGTCACTGATTTTTAGAAAGACAGGGGAGCCTTAGGACCCCATCTGAGCAATATGGAGGGGATTTTGATTGCTATAAATTGTCCACAATTAATTCTCGGTGTGCAGAACGACGGCGAAAGAAAAACCTCGCTGTGGAGTAAATTTGAATCTGCGTCCTTTTTGATTTGGGCCACATATTTTCCATCCTACCAATGTTTCCTCTGGGCTTGTTTAAAGGGAATAAAAATGACACATGCGTACACACAAAATATAGTCGGAGTTTGGCAGGACGTGGGGGTAGGGGGTGAGGACTTTCTTGCGGATTTGTGGCACAAATTGACCATTGTAAATCACTGGGCTTTGGGGGTTCAGGCAAACCCCGGTGAAAAGAGTTGGGATTCTTTTCTTCCTCCTGTTCAGAAATCAAATTCTGTCGGAGGAATTGTTAGGTCCCAGTACTTGGGATTCTGGCTAGAAAGATTTGCCATGAATAACTTTTTGTCTGTTTACTCCCCTAACAAAAGTCTCTCTAAAGTTGGTGAAGCGCTTGGAAAAGGCAGGAGAACATTCTCTGAGCTGTCACTTGCTCTTCGCTTGGACACAAATAAGGCGCCTAGTTCGAGGGTGCGCCCGCGCCTCGTGGGAAGTCAGGCCTCTGAGAGGAAGGCCCAGACTGCCCCGCTGGACCGTTCGGGAAGGGAAGAGAAGCGAGAGGAGCCGGGAGTCCCTGTATTCCTGCCTGGGCCTTCGCTCTGGGGCACTGCACCGCCCAAGAGCTGTCCAGGAATGCGGATTCTCGGCGGCTCCCAAGGCCTGGACGGCCAAGCCTGCAGTTTCAGCCCGTTGCAGCCCTCTGCCCTTTCCAGGAGAGCCGGTAGGGTAGGAGGGTCGTCGGGATCGGTGGGATCGCCCACCCCAGTAGAGTAGGAGCCTTGGGCAAGGGGGTGGGGCGCCGTCCTTGGGGCACTTGGGTTTGGACGCTGCGAGGTGGCCTGGCCTATGGGGCGCGCGTGGATGGGGCGCGTGCGGGGGGGGGAGGGCTGAGTTTTGAGGGTCTAGAGGCAAGTGAATCTCTCAACTTTCCGCCTCTGCAACATTCCCCCTTGACTCTCTGTCAAGTTAGGCCTAGGACGTGGCATTCTGCAGGAAGAAGCAGTAATGGGCAAAAGTGTCCCCGCAAAGAAGAGGGCAGAAGAGGCAACCGCAGGAAAAGTGCGGAAGAATTAAGAGGACAGTGAATTAGAGCAAATTGACCTTTTCCTGGAGGGTTTTGTTTTGTTCTGTTTTGTTTCTGCGGGGGATAGCTCAGGACCCAGGAATGGAGTGAGAGGAAGCAGAG